CTTCCTCAAAACCCCAGCTATCAGCTCACGCCAGTACAGCAAGGCATACCACTACGTCATGCCGCCGCTGGCAGTGCATTCGCTTTGCGGGTATTCATGCGGCGATCGCGTTTGACTGTGTGTCCATTGTTTCGAACAAGCCTTCATAACTACGTTCAGAGAATAGTTCTGCAAATTTCGAAGGCAGATTTGAGATCAGCGTCCAAAAACACGTCCCGCGATCTATGCCTCATTACAAATGGGCCCTTCGACTTGGAGACCATCCCTGGCCAGGGAAGTCCGCCAACTTACCATGGAACTTTGAATGGAGACCTGGGTAGATCGATAGTCTATAAGGTTATTTACAAATATAGATAGCAAAACTGCAACCTGCATTTCACAAGCAACTTATGAGCAGGTAAAGTTTGTAATGGTGCAGGGTGGAGGCTTGGTGGTGAGCTGTGAAGCATAAGCGAGGAATCGCATACGTCGAATCGAGTCGTCGAACGTCGAACCTTACCACTGAACCACCACGACTCGATTCGACGTATGCGATTCCTCGCTTATGCTTCACAGCTCACCACCAAGCCTCCACCCTACTGCACCATTACAAACTTTACCTGCTCATAAGTTGCTTGTGAAATGCAGGTTGCAGTTTTGCTATCTATATTTGTAAATAACCTTATAGACTATCGATCTACCCAGGTCTCCATTCAAAGTTCCATGGTAAGTTGGCGGACTTCGCTGGTGAGTAAGCACAGAGTTTCACGTGAAATGGAAGCTTACCCCTCGAAGAATTCCAGACTGAGAGGGCTTGCTCTTCTGCCTTCTGCAATCTGTAATGCTAGTGATTGCTTTTGTTTTTTCTTCCCCAAGCGGAAGCCATTATTCCCCATAGGGTAAGTGATATTCTGACCACATTTCTCTTCATTCCTTTCAGAAGATATTCGATCAAAATACAAAATCAATGACGAGAAAAATAGTAGAGGAAGCTCTACAATCGAGTGCACGCATGCATGCAGGTCGCTAGAAGCAGCAGCATTTTATCGAAAGGAGATAAAAATCTCTAAAATTATCACGAAAACGAACTATTCAGCGCCGCCGTTGACATGAAGATGCGATTCACAGATAACGCGGTGGTTGACCGTGTTCATCTCATCAAAATATATGTACCGGGATTAAGCTTGGACCCGTTTAGCCCATGATGAATAGAGGGGATATATCGACAGAAAATATTCGATAGTCGAAATTTTGGACAAGTCGCGAGTCGAAGCAACTAACTAGTGTGTCGACGTAACGAATACTAAAAGCATAAACTGAGCGCGTGGAAAAATAAAACTGGCAATACGAAACATCACCCAAAAAGCCTACCACGAATCATTAACGGCCAACCTAGACGAATATAACACTCGAAAAAATAAAGAGATTAATTGAAAGAGAAACCCCGTTACTTGGAGGTGTATGCTAAATATTTCCTATGATGTTACAGCGGCTGTTGCAGCCGCTTCACGAGGTAGGCCCAGCTTCTCACGTGCATACTCGACGAATTGATCGATAAGTACTGGCCACGCCCCATCTTCGTCGTAATTTGTCAGATCCGGTCTAATAGTAAGGCAGAAGTCAAGCAACAGATTCCATGTGTCACGGGAAATCGCTTTTCCATGCTCAGCAAGTAGGAATTCTTCCCAGAGCGACAATAGTGGGAACTGGAAAACATAGTTTTTATCAGTAAATCCATTTCAGGGACTACAGTTTTGTTTGCTGCTGATGAAAGGGGTGTCATGCGGAATGGGCTCGGAGCGGCGCCAGCCTGTTTCCCACCAGGTGTTGAAACGGGTAAGCGACAACAATAGGTAGAAAAAGGACTGATACAAACGACATGATACAGTGTTGCCGCTTGCTCGCTTCAACAAGTGGTGGAAAACGAGTTTGGAATGGTCCAAATCCATCTCGCCTGACACGCCCCTTCATCCTCAGCGAACAAGACCATACCGACTTTTGTGAAAAACTAACCTTATCAGCGAATAGGATTTTCCAGTAAGCCAATGCTGTTTCCAGATCGAGATTGCGTTGACTGCTCAGCTTCCCATAGAGGAAAGTAAACGAGTATAGCTCTCGGAATGCTGCCGGTTCTGATAATTCCGCGTCAAGCTCTTGTAGACGTTCACGAAGTTTGTCCAGCGAATCAACTCTGAAATCATAACACATGCTAATGACTTAATAGCGAAGTCTAAGGGCTACTTTCAAAGGCAGTGGTCCCCACTGCTGGGGGCGGGCACTTGTCGCCAGCCAACGTCACTGGTGCAAGGACTGAGTGGGTGTGGCTAAAGGCCCTCTCGCAGCCCTTCCGCAAATGACGCTGGCAGCAACCGTCCGCCTCCAGCAATCGTGCCCATTGCGTTTAAATGAGTGGGCGCGCTGGCTACGAAGCGAGGCGCCAATTCAAGCGTCGGTGGAAGGTCACACCTTCATGTGTTCAATAGTGTGGTCAAACGTTCTTACACCCAATGATGCTCAACTGCTGCTCCGCCTCCTAACCAACGTGCCCGATCCCTTTGAAAAAAAGGCAAGGTGTAAGGTGCTGAAAACAAACCTCAGTGCCGACAGTCCTTGTTGCCACTCTTCCCAACTGAACTCACACTGCGTTTGTGCCTGGAAAATGAGCAATGGTTAAAGGCAAAACCGGTAGAGAAAGTACACTCTAGTATAATACTGCTAGCCAAAACCTAGTGGATTTACTGCAGCAATGGTGTTTTCTCGGGATAATCCTCTTCAAGCTCACCACGTGCTCCCACCCTGCTATCTACGGAATTTCCTGCTAGTGCAGTACACTTTGAGGGCTTCGTGCATGCAAAAGCCGACACTGTGCGCAATACCGGCCTCCGGCTCGAGGTGCGCAGAAATAGGGCAGGACAACATCCCAGCGGTCTCCAAGAACAAGATCTCTGGGAAAACACTGAGCCAACACTATCTCTGTGGGATGGAACAGAGGAAAGGAAACGGGGTGGCCCAGTCCTGCTGTATGCGGCCTCCCCCCACTATAGTAGCACCCTAAAATTTTGCTTTCTTCCTTAATCACGGCAAATTACTTATAACCGCACCATAGAATTATTTGACAAAATCAAGAAACAGCTTTCAGAACGCCACTGCACAACTTCCTTTTTTCTTCTGATTCTCCTCTTTTTCACTTACTGTTCGTCTACTGTCATCAATAAAAACGCTAGAAACTGTAAGTCAGCGTTCATACTTTGCTCGAGACTCGTTCGAGAGAACACAACATCGGTGATTCGATGCTTCAGAAGAATGAGGGTCAGAGTTAGACATTAATCGACCGAGGCCTGTCGCTTTTGACCTGGGAAAATAGGAGAATCGGAAGAGCACTCCCTAACAACCGGGGTCGATCGATTCTCATCCACCCTTTGACGCGCCTTCTCCAAAAGGGCTCGATTGCCGACTCCCTTATTCTCCCAAGTCGTTAGCTAGATACCAATACTTAGCGCTAATTCCTGAAGAGTGTCATAAAGTAAAAGAATAAGGCTTATAAAATACCTTAAGTTTACAAGCGAGAATGAGAACACGACGATCGGTTGCATCCAAGTGTAGGTCATTGAGCAGACGTAGCATTCCATTTGGGCCAATACGCCCTGGGCCAACATCGTCGCGTGGATCTGAACTTACAGTAATTAATTACAAACAACTTAAGGAGAAGTAAACTGTTAAGCAATGTAATGTAAGGAAGGCTGCACCAACAAATGACTTGGTGATGGTGGGAGAGAAATGAAAATCTAGTCAAGTCTGAGCCCATTTCAAAAAATAGACTCGGACTTCTCGAAAAACATTTTGAAGACATAGACGCTATTTAGCTTGGAGGGGCAGTTTGCACTTTTACCAGTTTCTTCTGCTCGTTCATGTTAACTAGTAGGTCTCAGTTAAGTAAGATCTGTGAACACCTGCGAAACTGCGCAAATGAGCCATCGGACACAGGATTTAACGAGAACATTGAAGCACCGAGAGAATTGCAGTAATAAAATCTTGTCACCAAGGGGATCC